TTCCAGTACTCCTTCATTTGGCCGGGACCTGCATCTGTTCGTTCGTTGTGTTTTGGTACGGACCGTACGGTTGTAGTTTCTGCGACTCTCTCTCTCTCAGCTCAGTACCAGCTTCGGTTGTTCTACTCTACAGTCTACACGGGCAACCGCATAGACCAAGAGTGGATGTGTCGCGGTCGTTGATGAGTTATCGAGTCCCACCGTCATTACCGACACCAACTCCACCACGAACCCTACCTGTAGCCTGTCTAATCTAATATCCACAGGTGGTGGCGTGGTGCGGTGCCTGCCACCACCCCCGATCGCGACACCGATCGCCCGCAGTCCTGCACGCGCATTCGGTGCACCAGCACCGCCCCGTCCACGAATCACGGCCCGCGCACGGGTGCCGCCAAGTCGCGCTCGCACGCACGTCTGTCTGACCTCCCACGCGTCCCGCGCGGCGTGCCACGGGCGCCTCGCGCGCCGTTCCGGCCGCGCGGCCTGCGTGCGCACGACTTGATGCTGGGCGTGTCCGGGAGAGCGACGGCGGGCGAAGCAGACGCGCAACGGGGCATTGCGCGCGCGAGACGCAGGTGCGTCGCGTCCACCGGGGCCGGTGGCCGTGGGCCTTGTTATCCTGTTCCTGTTGCGGGGAAATGGAAAACGACTCGATCGGGCAGGCAAGGCAAAGGTGGCAGAGGCGATCTCGACGAATCTCGCGGACGGGAGAGTGGTCCTAGATAACGTCCCTTGGACTCTGTGGGCATCATCGTCCCAACTCCGAAGACCCATCCATCGAACGACCGGACGGACCTCACCTGCCACGCCCCCGTGGCCATGTGGGATCGTGTGCCAGTGCCGCTTCGGCTGGCGTCTCAACGCACTAGTACTCTACTGCTGCCAAGTTTGGCCTCTGCCGCAGATGATTGGGAGCAGCTTTTTAAAAACTCTGCAGGTTTGTTGGCTCATTGACCTGGAAAGGCACCTGTTTTTGCCTGACCTCGGAATAGAGTTTTAAGCCTGGTTTAGTTCCCTCAATTTCTGAATTTGGCACTATACAAAAAAAAGATTTCCCGTCACATCAAACTTGCGGTACATGCATGAAGTACTAAATATTGACGAAATAAAAAACTAATTGCACAGTTTGGTTGTACTTTGCAAGACGAACGTTTTGAGCCTAATTAGTCGACGATCGGATAATTATTACCAAATAAAAACAAAACGCTATTGTAGCTACACTAGCGCCAGGAAATCCGGCGGCACTGATTCGGTGCCCAACTAAACGCGCCCTTAGGCTGATAGTGCGTTGCATATAATAGTTGGAGCAACCTTAAACACTACTCCAATTAACGTGTGTAACTGGCCAATTAGCATTTGCTCACTACTCAGGTTATTTGGCCGTTTCCAGGTACTCATGGTGACTGATTACTGTGGTATATTCGCAGCAATTGCTGCTGGATGATTGATGGCTACATAAGTCTTCCAAACGTCCAAACATTTCCAAGGGAATTACCAGATATAGCTCCACGATCTCCCCATTTTCTATATAAAACCCATTTGTTGAGATACCTAAGCGTATATTCGAGTCGTCGTTGTTGGAGGGACTGATTTTTTTATTTTTTAGTCCCTTTTTTTATTTTTTTCACAAATATGTTTCTGGAGGTAAGATTTTAAAATCTGGACCCTTAACTCGACGCCATCGTTGCTGGCGCCGAGGTCTTGGGCTCGACGCAGACATGGTGGTGACTTGGCAGGCAGCTCGCGTCGTAGATCCTGGCGCCGAGCTTGGCACCGTAGATTCTGGCGCCGAGCTTGACTCCAGGATCTATGGCGGCGAGGTGGTGTTTAACCCCACCCCTAACCTTCCTGTCTGAGCCTTCTTCCTCTTCTTTCACCTCCCTCTCGGGTTTTTTCTCTCCCAACTTCGTCCTACCTCACGTATCGGCATATTGAACCTTGGAAACTTTGATTTGATCCGTACATCTTTGAGAGCAAGGTATCCTCACTCCCCTCCTAATTTTTTCGCATCAATTCGGTATATATTAGTCGGATTTTTCAACCTAAGAATCGTCATTACTTAGGGTTTCATGTAATTTTTAATATTTGTATTATACAACCATAGGATGCCAAGACGTGAAAAAGCTAGCAAAGGTAACCGCAACGCATGTTGTTATGTTATGGGTTCATTGTTGTGCATCAAATAGGAAACCCTAGGTTTATGGTTTAATGTTAATTGTTTTCGGTTCTTAGAACGAAATTGGTTGTATTGTAGTTATGGCCGGATGACCAGAAATGCCTTCGACCCATTGCCTTTGCCTAGTGGTGTTCCAGTGCCCATGTGCTTTTGCGGCGATCCTTGCAAAGTAGTCAAGTCCGATGAAGATGACACGTATAGGCAGAGGTATTGGATGTGTTCTAATTTTACGTTTGAGCCTACACTTTGTCAGCGCCGCATTAATAAGATGGTGAGGAATTGATGTTTGTGTCATATGACATCTTGCATGATTTTTTGTTTTGTAACAATTGCATTTTTTACAGACCCCTCCACCGCTCTGTGATTTTGAGCAGTGGATAACACTGAGATCAAGCCTGAAGACAAAGAATAGATGCAGAACTGTTGCAGTGGGAGGTAGAGGACAAGGAGATGATGGAGAAGAGACGCAGAGAGGAGGCTGTAAAAAAGGAGCACAAGGAAGAGGAGGAAAGGAGGCGTGTTGCTACATACAGGGAGGAGAGGGAGAAGAAGCTTGAGCGTGCACGCCGAGTGAAAGCAACGATGGAGGAGAATCCCGATACCCCGAGAAAGGAAAAGTGGCTTCGTTGCACTCAGTAGTCTCCATGACTTGCTAATTCTATGATTTATTCACGAACAATGTTGTCTACTGTCGACACGTACTTTTAGTATTATTGTGTTGTTTAATGTGACATAGTATGGACTTTTTATTATTTGGTTGTTTTTCATTATTTGTGGTTATAATATTCAGTATAATGTTACGGACGTAGTGAAATGTGATCACGTACTGCAAATACAACCTAACGAAGTAGGACATTATACGAAGAAAGTATTGGGGCCCATACGTAAGACAGGCTTGGTGCCAGTAACCACGGTGCCGAGCTCGGCGCCAAGATCTACGGCGCTGAGCTGCCTGTCAAGTCACCGCCACGTCAGCGTCGAGTCTAAGAGCTCGGCGCCAGCAACGATGGCGCCGAGCTAAGGGTTCAGATTTTGAAATCTTACCTCCAGGGACATATTTGTGAAATTTGTTTTTTAAAAAAAGGCTAAAAAATAAAAAATTCGGTCGGAGGGAGAGAGGGTGGCATTAAGGTTTCCAGGTGGTCTAGCTAAGGGCCTGTTTGCTTTCTTCTCCTCATCCTAAAATTTCTGTCACATCGAATGTTTGGACACATACATAGAGTATTAAATATAGACTAATTACGTAACTAATTACATAACTTGCGACTAATTTGCGAGAGGAATTTTTTATGCCTAATTAGTCCATGATTTGACAACGTAGTGCTACAGTAAACATGTGCTAATGATAGATTAATTAGGCTTAAAAAATTCGTCTCGGAAATTAGCCTCCATCTATGTAATTGGTTTTGTAATTAATTTATATTTAATGCTCCTTATTAGCCTCTAAACATTTGATGTGGCGTAAATTTTAGGAGCGACTAAAAAATCAAACACCCCCTAATTATGCTACAACTCCACCACTTCGCATCCACTCTGAAACTCACACGCTTCATCTTGTCAATGCATCGTCTTCTTCCTGAAAATCAAGTTTCCTACCTAGTTTTTTCTGCTCTCCACCAAATCCAACGTTTATAGCTATATTAATGATCTTCACCGTACCCAGATTGAGCTATGCTCTCAAGTCTCGACATCTAATGCTCGTTCCAAAATATAAGGATTTAAACTTTGACCCAGAATATAAGGATTATAATAAGGATAGTCGCAACCTAAACCCACTAGATAGTCTTCGTAGCTCACACCTTAGCGAGAAACTTCATCCGGAGACTATGGGCCAGTTTGGTAGGGCTCTGGCTCCAGCTCTTCTTATAGAGCACCTTCTTTGGTGGAGCTGAAGTCATTTAAAAAAAAAAGACATACGGCAAAGATAGCTTCAATTATAGTTTTATAATGATTTGTGTAAAATTTATGAGGAACTGAAAAAGCCACGTTATCGCAGTTCCATCTTCTCAATACATAAACGGCTTTGGATCCTCCGGTCTCGCTGCGAGGAGCCATTTTTAGTTGGCCGTTTGGCATGGCTCCCTAGCAAGAACCGCAAGTGCCTGATTGAGAGGGCATCAAAGTCAGTTCCCTTTCTCGTAATATGTTTTACTAAAAATTCTAAAAATCCTTGTATTAGGTGCGTATTTGCACGGACCTTGTTTATACCAGCATGGTAGAGCCGTAGAGGCGTAGAGCCAATGGATGGAAAGTGTTGCTAGGAGTCCAGAGGACCAATAATGTAGTTGGATTTTTTTTCCTCCAAGGCCTTGTTTAGATCACCTCCAAATTTCAAGTTTTTTCACTCTCTCTTCATCACATCAATTTTTAGCCGCTTGCATGGAGCATTAAATGTAGGTAAAAAAAACTAATTGCACAGTTTAGTTGGAAATCACGAGATAAATCTTTTGAGCTTAGTTGGTCCACAATTGAACAATATTTACCAAATAAGACGAAAATGTTACTATTCATCGGATTGAAATTTTTTGCAATCTAAACATGGACCAAAAGCTAAATAGTGTTGTACTGTAGGAAGCTTGCAATGCGGGGAACACGAAGGGCATAGTCGTCAAATGCGCCGTTCTGCCCACAGCTCAGGCAGTCCGGGTCCGGCAGTTCTCTCCCACTCCCTACCCGAAAGCTTCACCCGGACGCTTGCCCTTCTCCGTCATTAACCATCCCAACCTCCAAGACCGGGACGGGACCTCCCCTTTCCGTCCTCTCGCCGCTCCAGGCATTTTGACGGAAACGCCCCTCACCCACCCGCGCGCGACCGACGCCGGCGATGCTCCGGCCGTCGTACTCGCGGCGCCTCCTCCAGAGCAGCAGCGACAGCGGCGGCGCCATCCCCAACCCGAACCAGAACCCGAACCGCATCCCGGGCATCCCGCCCGCCGACCCGCCCCCGGCCGTCAACTCCGATGTCGTGGTGATCCTCGCCGCCCTGCTCTGCGCGCTCATCTGCGTCGTGGGCCTCGCCGCCGTCGCCCGCTGCGCCCGGTCCCGCCGCCGCAACAGGGGCGCGGGGGCCGACGACGGCGGCCCGGCGTCGTCCCCCTCGAGCAACCCGGGCAGCGGCGGCGGGCACAACCACCACCACCACCACGCGCACCAGGCCACCGGCGCGAGCGTGGCCACCAATACCCCGACCGCGACCACCGCCGCCAGCAAAGGGCTGAAGAAGAAGGCGCTGAAGGCGCTGCCGAAGCTGGCGTACGCGGACGCGGTGGCGGCTGCCGCGGCGGCGCGCGGCGCGGCCCCCGCGGCGGAGGGCGAGGAGGAGGCGAAGGCGGAGGAGCTGCTGGCGGAGTGCGCCATCTGCCTGGCGGAGTTCGGCGAGCGGGAGGAGGTGCGCGTGATGCCGCAGTGCGGGCACGGGTTCCACGTCGCGTGCGTCGACACCTGGCTGCGCTCCAACTCCTCCTGCCCGTCCTGCCGCCGCCCCATCGTCCTGGACGACCCGGCGCCGCCCAAGCGCTGCCGCAAGTGCGAGGCCGTCGTCCTGGAGGCCGTCCTCGCCTCCTCGTCGTCGTCGTCCGCCGCCGGCGGCAGCGGAGGCCGCCGCGGCGGTGGGGGATTCTTGCCGTAGTATCCAGCAGCAGTTGGTTGGCCGGTTGTTTGTCTGACGGGCGGGCCCAGGCAGGGTCCTGCCTGGTTGGTGAGCTGCCCCCATCAGGCCGTGCCCACATGTCATTAGCGCAGCCAAGATCCCCTCTAAAGCAATGAAAACCAAGAATAACTAGAAGGAAAAATGTGATTCTTTTTGTACAACCTTTTTGAGTTCTGCACCAACTTTGGCTTGTGGGGGCATATGGCATCTGTTGGAAACTTGCAGCGGGTACTGTAAAACTGTAAAAAGGAAAACTGTCAACTGGGGGTAAAAATTATATATATTTGTGTTATATATGCTAGTGGTAGTTTCTAGTTTGTACTGATTACTGAAAGGCTATTTGTAGTCAGTGAAGTATAGAGAGGGTTGAAAACATGGATATTTTTATTAAAAAAAACATGGAGTTCCTCTCATCAGTACACTAGACTAGGTGTGCTGCTCACTTTGGCATTATATTTCTGTGATGTTTACAACTTGGAAGCTGACATGCCGCTGGATCATCTTCTAGCAAGGTGTCAATGTGGGTGATGGGGTTTGGGGATGGGCAGGGGGGAGCTGTGCGTCCGAAGTGGAGTGGTCGAGCAGTCTGCTTCAGGGGTTTGGTCGCTGCCTCGCCTCGCCAGGATGGCCATCAACGAAAGCTAGCATGTGCCTGAGCGCGAGGCTTTTGTCTTCATTCCATCAGGCAATTGGAAGCATCATCGGTTACTGCGCTAAAAAAAGAAAGAATTCCTAGATCCTAAACCTGCTCCATTTCATTATTCCTGCCATCAGATGAAACTTGCAAACAGCTCACGCTGAAGAAACTTGTGTGCCAACTGAACCAGAAACATCGTGAGCTGGTTTACCGCTTTATATACGGGATCCTGGTCGATCTGCATCTGCTGCAGGTGAAAAGGCCGTTCCGTTTCCGTTTCCACCCCCACACGAAATTCAGCTGTGCGCGTGCACGCACGCATCCTGTAGAGCAGAGTGTAGACGTGTAGTCAGTCACCGATTCTAGTCTCGCGAATCGCCGATCCCCAGCTCGGACATGCATGGTTAGCCAGCCGCGATGGTGATCGCGGCCCCGGACATGCGGACACGACAGGAGGGCGATCATGCCATGTCTGGTTGGTGGTGCCAACGTGACGAGACAAATAGCGTCAGCCGTCAGCTCCCCCAACTGCCACGAGCCCACAACACGGAAAACTCTTTTCTGCTGGCTCTGTTTTTACAGTTTACATTACTCTCACAGCTCGAAAATGTATGGTGTCTTTTTTTCCCATATATATAAGGTATGTTTTTCAAGTTCGCCATTTGTCTAGCACACTTGCTTATGCCCCGTTTAGACCAGCTAAACTTTTTATAAGCTGCAATATTGAGAGAGAGTCAGCAAATAGTTTTTTTTTATAAACGAGGTTGCGTAGTTTAAAATGGCCTATAAACTAGACTATAACATTGGTTGTTTGGATAAGTTATTTTTTTAGTAGCTAGCAACTTATTTTAACTTATATAGACAAGACCTTAGTCTCATTAAAACATCTTATATTTTGGAACAAAGAGAATAATACATGGACAGAACCCCTTTCCCTATTTGGAATGCTGCTCGCTCAGGTCAGCAAAGTGTTAGTGACGGTAGTGCATCCGTCATGGCTTCCTGGGTGCACACACCTACGTTTCTAGTTTAATTCCCATTTTTTATAAGGCGGCTTGCAGAGATGGCAAGATGCGCAAGAGTTAATGTTTATTTCCGGTTCTCAAAACCAACCAAAGAACAACAAGGGAGACAAAGAAATGGATTTCAATACTCACCAAAGAAACGTTATAATATGTACCGGTTTTTGTCCACCAATGTATGCAAGCATACGATGTAGGAGTATTTGTTAAGTAAGGGCCGTTTGATAAGGATTCAGATTCTCTACGAAATGTTTCAGCTTTAGATCCTCTCAAGTCTCTAGAAACGTTTTAGGTGATGAATTATTTTCACTTTGTGAAACCATATGGCACGTAGGCTGGATTTCAATTCCAAAAGAAAATATTTTTCATAAAAAATATATAAATAAAAATATGCTTAAAAATCGGAACTTTTTTGTGGATAAAGAATAACTTGAATACAACCTATTTTAATTTGTTGCACTAAAAAAGGATAGCAAGAAAAAATACAGTCGTAAGTGTATGAGAGAGGCTAGAAACGAAGTCCGGAGACGTTTCACTCATCCATGCAAAAATAACAAAAACGTTTCAGGGCAGAAACGTTTCGCGAATATGGCGTTTGGTGCAGTTTCTACCGATTCTCTTTCAGGGCAGGACGTTTGGTGCAGTTTCTGCCAGTTCGGAACGGATTCCGGCATCGAACGGTGCCTTACGCCTTGTTTAGATTGCCTCAAAATTCTAAGTTTTTTCACTCTTTTTCTATCACATCAATTTTTGGACGTATGTATGGAGCATTAAATGTAGGTAAAAAAAAACTAATTACACAGTTTTGTTGTAAATCACGAGACGAATCTTTTGAGCCTAGTTAATCCACGATCAGACAAAGTTTGTCAAATACAAACGAACGTGCTACAGTGTCCAAATTGCAAAAATTTGCAATCTAAACGAGGCCTAAGTATTCAGTTTCACCACTAAATTGACAAAAAAAAACTAGTATGGCACTATGGCTCCTCTTTTCGTTCATCAAACTAGATTTGGCCACTCCTTAAATCTTGTCCAAGATCCGCCATCAGGATCAGGTGTCTACACTGACTTTGCAGCTAGTAGCCTAGTACCCAACGATAATGGAAACACAACTTTCGCCCGTGTTTACTCGAGTGAATTTTGGAATGATACTATAGCACTTTTGTTTTTATTTGACAATCAATGTTCAATCATGGACTAATTAGGCTCAAAACGTTCGTATCGCAATTTCCAACCAAACTGTGCAATTAGTTTTGTTTTCGTCTACATTTAATGCTCCATGCACGTATCGCAAGATTCGATGTGATGGATACTGTACCACTTTTTTGAAAAAGTTTTTGGAACTAAGGCCCTATTTAGATTCTAAAAATTTTCATCCCAAAGTGTCACATCGAATCTTGCGGCACATGTAGTACTAAATGTAGACGAAAAAAACTAATTACACAGTTGGGTGAGAAATCACGAGACGAAACTTTCGAACCTAATTAGTCTATAATTAGATACTAATTACCAAATACAAACGAAAGTGCTACAGTAGCCAAACAGTAGCCAAACTCAAAAATTTTGAAAACTAAACGCGCCCTAAACATGGGCTTCATCAAGCAAACCTCCCAAGCCTGCTGAAGTGACAGGATCCGATGCCACTCCAGTAGTGTGCCCCTGATATATCTGAAAAGCTGCAAATGAGAGGACCATCTCTCATCCGAGATCTTCCTCCAGATATTCCTTCTCCATATAAGGGCACGACCAACGCGGGCCTATATTTTCCAGTGGTTTGAACACAAAGTGATGCCATCTGGATAAGGGCAGACTCAACAGGCCGTTAAGGCTATCTACAAGACATACATGTAGGAGAGAGAAGTGAGGAGAGAGAGTATACTGACGCTGAGTCTAGCGAGCATCGATACACAGATTCCCACGCTAAGAAAGAGGATTGGTCAAAGGTGGAACATGAGGGTAAATATAATATATTTTGTGTGGGATCTATCTTGTTTTGGATTACTCTACTCCACTTTTTTCAGCTCTGCTCCACCAACTCTATCATACAAAGCAGCTCTACTGTGGAGTTTCTGGAATAAGTGGACCTGTTTGGCACGCAGTTTAGCTCCAGCTCTGAAAACATAAGGTTTCTATAGGAAAGGTCTACTATGCTCCTGATCGATGTTTGATGTATGTTATGTTGTATGCAGAGCATGTGTAATTGAATATTTTTTTTACCAATTTAAATATGGTGTAAATATTATAATCTCATTTAATTTATTGGAGAAAAGTAAAAAATAAATATTTTGGCTAAATAATTTCATACTTTTGTCACGTAAATTTCAAAACACTTGATGGATAATTGACAAAGTTCATATTTCGGATACAAATAATTGTCCATACATGACTAATGATAAATAAAATAACAAAGTCCATCATTCTAATAGAAATAGTTGTCCATAGATAACTAGAGAATAGTGACTAATACATAATTCTAGTTCAAGAGCAGTGGCCAAGTCATCACGGAATTTATCCATAGTAGGAGCATTCGGTGCATCAGTAGAGCCAACTTGAGCTCCATTTTTCCTGCAAGATGCTACGTGTAATTAGATCACAGTGCAGCAATATGTTCTGAAATCTAAAGGGCATAAGGTAAAAGCCTCAAGAGAAAGAAACAAAAATAAGAATACAGCACATTCCAACCTAAACATAAAGAAAAATGGCATTGGCATGTCGAAACTAGTAAAGAGCCAAAGAGTGGTGCCAGGTGCATATACAAAGACTCGATTCTTTTCCTAAATTCAAGATTTGACATTCTACAGATGTACTGATAAGAATGTTTGCAAAGCTAGAAAGGTTTATGGCAAAGTGCCATACAAATATATTGATAATCCTATGTTCAGCCAAGGGGGGAAAATGCCCTAGAAGGTTGTAATAGCCAGTCAAAAAATTCTTGTGACAGGTAGTTGATGCCAACACCAATTATGTCACCAGATGTGAATTTTGGCCCAAATGCTTGACCTTTCCCTTGACCCACGTAAAGCTGGCCATCGTCACCATGGTATCCACAACTGTTCGACTCCCAACTAGAAAGAACAAAGGGCACAAAGGATAAATTTGAGAGAGAGAAAATCAATTAGCCACATAAACACTAGCATTTACAATATGAGGTCAGCTTGAAATGTAAAGGAAAGAAGAGAAGGGGTCTTTATAGTTAACCTACAGAAATTCCATAAATCAGAAATAGTCTGACAGTCTGCGAGGAAAGTCCCTTTAAGCTTACAATTAGAAATTTAGCTATAGCATGAAAAAGACCTTAGCAACAAATAGCCAATCATGGT